CGCCAATTGCGCGGCCCGGGTGGGTGGACGGGCCGGGCCGGGGGTGGGGGTTGGGTTCGCTGCGTCCGCTCCGCGCTGGGTGCTGAGGGGAGGGGGCCGCGCGCTGCCGTGAGCCCCTCCCCACCCGGCGGTGCCAGTGCCCCGGGGCTGGCACCGGCCATTAAGTACCCCTGTTGCAACATGGACCGTGCTCCGAGGCGTTTGTGCTGACAGCCATCACCCGCCCACGCATGTGGCCCTTGTCCCACAGGCAGCGCCTGGCAGACCCACGGACCTGTTACACAACTGTCACCCACGCTGCCATTGTGGGCACATCCACGCGGCTGGTGCCCGCCATTTCCACCTCCCATCTGCACAGCTGCCAGTGCACCCGCGTAGCTGTCACCCAGACACCCATCACCTGCACACCTGTGTGCCCACCACTGTCACCCCCACCCCTTGCACACCTACGCAGTGCCCGTGCGATCACACAGCCGTCACCCAGCAACGCAGCTGTTGGCGTCTCTGCCCTGGTGGCTGTGCCTCATCGTCCAGGCCTGCATCTTGCCTTCGCTGGGTGCTCCATTGCTGCTGGCTTATGCCCAGACCTCAAAATAGAGTTTGGTGCGTGAGGGTGTGATCAAGTATGGCTTTAGGAGGCCCTCAAAGCAGTGTCGTGGGTAGTCGCCCTTTCTTCTCCGTGCTCCAGGAGCTGCTTGGGAACGTGCTGCCCATCTGCACCTTGGTAGGAGCTGGGCATGAAACTGCCTCTGGTAGAGCTTCTCCAGTCAAAACATCCATGTCTCCCAGCTGTACAGCAATGTGGTAAGCACAGTAGTTCTGTATGCTTTGATTTTGGTGGGAGCTGGATCCTTTCCAGTGTGCTGCAATCACACCTTTTGACTAGTATAACTGCAGCTACACTAATGGTGGCGTTAGGATTACTATTTTAGATACACCCGCCCCCCCAATTAGCAAAGTTATAGTAAAACAGTAGAACTCAAATTATTCCTATTTAGGCGGTTCACATCCAGTTGAAGATGCAGTAAATTGCTGAATTAAGGGTGAAATACTCAGGTCTTTACTGCCTTTTCCTTCAAAGGGCTCTCTTTGATCAGCTGGAGCTCAGTGGTCCTAGGCAGCTGATCAGAGAAGTTATATCCTGTCTTTGTAATAAAAGCTGCAGCAAACAGCTATGCTTTCCAGCTGCCAGAAAGGCCCCGCTAAAGTGCCTGAACTATAGAGATGTCGGGTGAGCTGGGTCCAACCAATGTGCTGCCTTTTCTGGGCATATGCTGGGCTCGGTGCAGGAGCATGCAGATTTTGAAGTAAAGCACCTTTTGGGTTTGTTTTTTTTTTAAACACCTTCAAGCAGTCCTTATGTCCAGAAAGCTTTAGACAAAAACTCGTTGTTAATGTAAAGTTAGAATGTGGTTTCTTATATGGTCTTTTACATGCATCACCCATTGGATTCTTAGGAAACGCACTCCGTGCATATAACTACTACTTCCTACCCAGCCCCCCATTTCCCCATCCCAGGATGTACATGTTTACCAAACTAAACATCTTTCCTGATCTAATTAAAACCAGGGGAATAGTTGCATCATTTCAGACATAAAGATTACTATTTCAGTATCCTAGCAATACTGGGTGTATCTGCATGGGATGCTGACTGCACAGTAGCATATTAATGCTAATATGCTACTGCGCAGTATTATTAGGCTACTACGCAGTAGCATCACTAAGGTGTGTACTACTGCGCAATAATACTGGTTACTGTCCGTTAATTTAGTACCTGATAATACAAGTACTAAACTTAATACATACTAACTACGGTACATTAATGAACATGTAGATGCACCTATTGTCTCTTAATTTCCCTAC